GACTTTTATTACTCCCTGTCGCGGGCCTTACAGGGCCATCTCCGCCTCCATTTCCTTCAAGCGTTCCTCGCCGCTCTTGCCCGGGATGCCAGCGCCAGGACCCGGGACCACGGGTCCTCCTGCACCCGGGAGTCCCGGGGCTGGCCCCGCCCCAGCCATCGCTGCCGCCGTCGTTGTCGCCGCTACTACTGTCTCAGCTTAGCTGCCGCCGCTGGTTCTGCTGTCTACTCTCAGCCTTCGTCTGGGTGGGCTCCCGAGGATGACGTCCAGCGAAAGCGACGGGCGGTGGCGCATGACGTCATACGTTCGGGCGCGAGAGCCAATGAGATTTTTCCACACCCTCAGGGGACTACAGGCCAATCAGAGTGAGAGAAGGACACACGAACGCAAGAACCTGGGCCTATGAGAGCACAGCGAAGAGAGGCGGCCCCGCCTTCCTGGGGGACCACGGGCTAATGAGAGCGAAGCAAAGTCAGTTGGGCCCATCCCCAATGTGGAATCTGGACCTTTGAGAACGCAGGAAACTTCGGAGGACCGTCGTGTGCCACCGCGGAGCCTGCGCCGGAAGTTTAAAAAGACGCTAAAGTCTGCGTCAACCCCAGGATTGGGCAAGGCTGGGAGGCCTGGGGTCCCCTATCCTGGAGTAGGTTGACACCCGACCTGTGGTTCCCACGAAGACCAGAGACGCCCAGGAGGAAGCGCCTGACCCGGGCTTCCTGGACGACAGCTGAAGACTTTTGAGGAGGCTGTTCAGTGTGGGAGTCAAGGCCCAGAGACTAGTGCAACTCAGAGGAGCACGTCCGTGGGCTTGGTCCCTGTCCTTTCTTGGGCCACAGCTGACCTTTTTTTTTTTTTTTTCTTTTTATCCCCGTAGCCCTCACAAGTGTTTTATTCTGAGTATTTTCAAACATGCACATTAGGGGGAATAGTATAACGAACTCTTAAGTACCTCTCAAACGCTACCAATATTCAACACGTCTGGATTTCACTTGATCTATACTTCTCTTTGTCAGGTGCGTCCGTGTGAAGAGAGCACCAATTGGGCAGACTTTGTGTGGGCAACAAGGCTGTTTATTTCACCTGGGTGCAGGCGGACTGAGTCCGAAAAAGGAGTCGGCAAAGATTGGTGGGATTATCATTAGTTCTTACAGGTTTGGGATAGGCGTACAAAGTACATTCTCAAGGGCGGGGAGAATGTTACAAAGTACCTTAAGGGCAGGGGAGAATGTTACAAAGTACCTTCTTAAGGGCAGGGGAGAATGTTACAAAGTACCTTCTTAAGGGCAGGGGAGAATGTTACAAAGTACCTTCTTAAGGGCAGGGGAGAATATTACAAAGTACCTTCTTAAAGGTGGGCGGAGAATATATCGTTTCAGTTAGGGTGGGGTAGGAACAAATCACAATGGTGGAATGTCATCAGTTAAGGCTATTTTCACTTCTTTTGTGGATCTTCAGTTGCTTCAAGCCATCTGGATGTATACCTGCAGGTCACAGGGGATATGATGGCTTAGCTTGGGCTCAGAGGTCTGACACTCTTATTTTGTATTTTAATTTTAATTTATGTATTTGTTTTGAGACAGTCTCGCTGTCACCCAGGCTGCAGTACAGGTGCCATCTCAGCTCACTGCAACCTCCACCTCCCGGGTTCAGTCTATTCTCCTGCCCCAGCTTCCGGAGTAGCTGGGATTACAGGCTTGTGCCTCCATGCCTGGCTCATTTTTGTATTTTTAGAGGAGATGGGGTTTCACCATGTTGACCAGGGTGGTCTCGAATTCCTGACCTCAAGTGATCTGTCCACCTCAGCTTCCCAAAGTGCTGGGATTACAGGCGTGAGCCACCATGCCTGGCCTTTTATTTTTGTTATTATTTTTTGAGACAGCCCAATCAACCTTTCCCCTAATAGTTTTAGTAGCCCTTCATCATCATTACTTGTATCCATCAATTAATTCATGGCAAATAGTGGTTTTTGAATTCTAGTATTTTCTCTGAAGTTATTAGTTGTGATTCTTCCATAAATAACCTCTTCATCAGAAATTTGGTTACTTAGGCCGGGCACAGTGGCTCACACCTATAATCCCAGCACTCTGGGAGGCTGAGGCGGGCAGATTATCTGAGGTCAGGAGTTCGAGACCAGATTGGCCAACATGGCGAAACCCGGTCTCTAGTAAAAATACAAAAATTAGCTGGGCATGGTGGCACGCTCCTGTAATCCCAGCTACTTGGGAGGCTGAAGCAGGGGAATCACTTGAACCCAGGAGGCACAGGTTGCAGTGAGCCAAAATCTCACCACTGCCCTCCAGCCTGGGCGACAGCACGAGACCCTGTCTCAAACAAACAAACAAACAAACAAACAAAAAAATTGGTTACTTGTACGTATAAGAAAAATAGAGAACAAGCTTCTTTTATTTTATATATAAAATTTTTCAAAATAATGAATGGGTGCCTAGTATTCTTCAAAGGTGATTTCAATGAGGTATATGAGTATCAACATGAACTTACAGATTCAGGCATATTTGATGTGCTTCAAACTACTGCGGTTCTTTTTACTGCTCAATATGCCCCACCTTTGGCCAGTGAGAGAGCCCTTCAGACTGGCTCCTGAGTTCCTTTGACTTGGCCACAGTAGTCTTGGAGGACTTCTTTGCTTCCTGGCACAAAATATCCTGTACACATTTTGCACATTTCTTGCCCCAGACCTAGAATCAGCTGTTTTCACAAGAGTCCCTAGTTCTTAGTCAGAAATGGCACTTAAGAGACCACAGTCTGTACACTAGTGCTGCTCAGTTACTGGGGTGTCATTATATTTAGACCTTTTCAGGGGACTTAACCAGGGAAATATATATTTTTTAGAAAGAGAAAAATCATGACTTTATTCTGATATTTCCAGTTCATATGAAAGACTACAGGTGTTTACTTCTTTGAGTTTATATTTGTTATCTTTTTTCATCCACACTAAAAATCTCGGTCCCCAATGACATTATATCACTACTTATTTGCTTTAGTATATAATTTCAAAAAATATAAGGTAGAATCTCAAAATTTAAATGGTCTATTTTATCAAAATAAAAATGCCAGTGTTATTACTAACAATGTGACTACCGTATGAAGTTGAAGATTTTGTTGAGTTCAGTTGAAGGTGGGGGCTGGGAACTGTGATGAGGAGAGAGAGGAGGAGCAGGTACACTAAGGACTGTGCATGGGAAAGCCAACATGGAAAGGCTGGGAAATAGCAACCAGGGGCAGGAGGAAAGCTGGGAGAGTGAAGGGGCTCTGGAGGCCAAGAGAGGAGTTGTGTGAGAGATGGACAGCAAGGTTTAAGATCATAAAGCTGCCAAACTTCCAAATTTGAAAACTTACTGCAACACCAGTAAAACTACCATCTGTGCATGTTTTTCTTCTGGGGTCAGGCAAATTAAATCTAATGTTCACTTAATTTGGGGAAAAAAAATTACCAAGACAGGGGAAACCGTAATCCCAGTAGGCGAAGATTTGGGAGGCAGAGGCGGCAGAATCACTTGAGGCCAGGAGTTGGAGAGCAGCCTGGCCAACATGGTAAAGTTCCGACTCTACAAAAAATACAAATATTAGCCAGACATGGTGGCAGGTGCCTGTAATTCCAGCTATTCAGGAGGCTGAGACATGAGAATTGCTTGAATCCAGGAGGCAGAGGTTGCAGTGAGCTGAGTTCGTGCTACTGCACTTCAGCCTGGGCAACAGAGCCAGATTCTGTCTCAAAAAAAAAAAGAAAGAAAGAAAGAAAGAAAAAGAACAGCACCTAAGAGCATCCAGCCATTTCAGATATGACAATGTGGCTGGGTGTGGTGACTCACGCCTGTAATCCTAGCACTTTGGGAGGCTGAGGCTAGCAGATCACTTGAGGTCAGGAGTTCAAGACCAGTCTGGCCAACATGATGAAACCCCGTCCCTACTAAAAGTACAAAAGTGACCTGGGCATGGTGGTGCATGCCTGTAATTCTAGCTACTGGGGAGGCCGAGGCATGAGAATGGCTTAAACCTGGGAGGCGGAGGTTGCAGTGAGCTGAGATCACGCCACTGCACTCCAACTTGGGCAAGAGAGTGAGACTTCGTCTCAAAAACAAAAACAAAAGAAAACAAAAACAAATATGACAATGTGTCACAAGCCTTTCTATTAAGCTACTGTGGGAATGGCACATGGAGGGTTAAATACAAAGCAGTTCTGGAGAGAAGCCAGATATAATCCAATTAAACATGGAAATTTAGCGCATAAAAAGGTGGCATCTCAATAGCATAAGGCTTTGCTTTATAAATTGAGTAACCCATGCAGTGAAATGCACAGGCCTTAAGACTACAGCTAGATGAGCTCTGACAAATCTCTATACCTGCATCACCTCCGCTGCTCTCAACACAGCACATTCCCATCAGCTAGGACATTTCTGTGTCTCCTCCTCAGTTGATCCCAGCCGCCCACCTTCCCTCAGAGGCAACTGCCACTCTGACTAGGAATTTCAGTAAGTGCTACTAGGATATATGTAAAGTAAGACAAAATTGGATCCATGTGCTAGGATAAATTCCAAATGGCTGATTTACATGTAAAAAAAAGAAACTATAGAAACTAGAAGGCATTCTCATGTTTTAATACATTCCTTATCCCCAACCTATATTGTCCCCCTCAATGGCCTTTATTCCAGCACATCCTGGCTCAGGGCCTTTGCATGTGCTGTTGCCTTGAGCTGCAAGCTCTTCCTCAGCCACCCCGTTGCTCCTGCTCACCCCTTGATGGAGTGCGACCCGGGCAGTGTGGCCCTCAATTCAAATCACACCTCCCACCCCCTGCTGGATTTCCCACACAGCAGTTAACCTGCAGCATACTACATGTGTATTTTCCTTATCTTGTAAACTCTGTCTCCCTGCCCTAGAACTCAACTGCTGGAAGACAGGGTCTTCTGGCTCTTTTGTTCAGTGTGGACTCCCTAGCGCCTAGAGGAGGTGCTCAATTACTTTTTGCTGAGAATGAAAGTGATGAAAGGACAGGGGCCAGGGAGCTGAGCGGGGCAACAGAACAGCACGTGAGGGGACTGCAGGTGCGGGTGGGGACGACGGCCGAGGAATCCTGGCGCTGCTTTCTTCCAAATGTCCTGGGGGAGGTGAGGTGTTGGGGTGAACAGTGTCAAGTTCTCGGCTTCTGTTTGAACACTCTCTTCAGCTGCACAGCTTCTGCAGGGCCCCCTGGGCCTGAACCCAGCGCAGCCGCCACTGGGGCAGGGACAGGCCCTGGCAGAGCTCCTCAGAGAGGGCGGCCTGGCCTGGCTGCTCCCACCTGGGGAAGGGCATGGCATCAAAGGGAAGGCTTGGCCCTCCAGACCCTCGCTGGCCTCCCCGCAAAACCATGGCCTGCTCCTTTTCACCAGCCCCCCGGCTTGAGTCCTGACTTTTCTGTTTCCCACCCACAGCACGTTCCCCTCTCACCAGTCCCCCACGATCCCCTGCAGCTCAGGGATTCGCTCCAGCGCCTGTTTCAGCAGCTTCTCCAGCCTCTTCAGAGCCTGCCCCAGGTTCTCTTTCTGCTGTTTTTCCTGGGATGCCTGGATCTGCAGCAGCTCTGAGGGTGAGAAAGCCGGGAGGCAGCTTTGAGTCCTCTGGCTCGCTGGTACCTTACAGCAATGAGTCCCCAAGTCTCCAGTCCCCTAGTCTTGACCTCAGCATTTCCCACAAACTAATGATGAGTCTGTCTCCTCTTCCCAGCCTGGAAGTCCCCTTCTGAGGGACTGCCCTTGAGATGAAGACCTGTCCCTCCTCCCAGGTTCTCATCTTAAGGGCAGTCCACACCATCCCCCCGGCCCCACCCAGGCCTCCTTCTGGATGCTTTCCTCCCTACCCCTGAGAGCCCATCAATCTCCATGGCCTGTCCGCTCGGTCTTCTGAGCGTTTCTTCCTCTCCTCTGCTCCAGGCCTCGGTCTCCTGCTCTGGCTTACCCTCTGCACTATACACAGGGATCTTCCTGAAGCCTAAATCTGATGCTCTCCCTCGTGTCTGGAACCCTCCAAGGTTCTCCAGTACCCTCAAGGCAGAGTCCAAGCTCTTCAGTAGGTATTTGAGTTTCATGATGTGGCAAAACCTGGCCGATCCCCAGGGCCCACAGTAGAGAGCATCTTTCCTCCTGGAGGCCCTTCCAACACTCCTCGCCCTAAGGCTTCCTCCTCCACCTGCTCTAGCTTCACGCTAGTGGTGCTTTCCTCTGGGACTGGGACTGGGCCTACTCCCTCTCCATGTGTGCAGAACAGGCCCAGCTCAGCAAGTGTCGACGAGCAGCGTGATCAGACAAGCTGGGCCTGAATCCTGACCCCATCCCATCCCTGCCCTGTGACCTTGATCACGACACTGGCTCTTTCTTCAGCTCCGTCTGCTGTCAGGTGGAATTACTGGAGCTGTAGGCTAGTGGGCAGAGGGCCGGGAGAACTCTGGGGATGGGACCCTTAGGGCTTGCTAAGAGGTTGAAGCTGGTGGGGGTGGGGGGATTAGGGGGATGGGGAAATTCAGGATGACTCCTGGGTTTCTGGGTGCAGCACTTGGATGAGGAGGGTGAGATAATTTAACAAGGGAGGAAACAAGAAGAGGAGGAACAAAATTGTTTCTTGGAGTAGAGAGAACCAGGAGTTCCATGATAGATGTGTAGAGTTCAAGATGCCCATGATTACAAGAAATATATAATTAGCCAAGCATGGTGGTGCATGCCTGTGGTCCCAGCTACTCGGGAGGCTGAGGTAGGAGGATGGCTTCAGCCCAGGAGGTTGAGGCTGCAGTAAGCTGGGATGGCACCACTGCACTCCAGCCTGGGTGACAGAATGAGACCTTGTCTCAAAAAAACAAAAGCAAAACCAAAAAACGCATGAGGTGGGCAGAGGGCACGGTGGGCCAAAGGCATGGTAGGCAGAGGCTGAGGTGGGCAGAGGCCATGGTGGGCAGAGGCCGTGCAGGGTCTGGGGCTGCTCTCATTGCTCCTGCACACTGCTCCCTCCCCTCGTGGAGAAGTGGAGGGCAGAGAGCCCCAAACTCAGAGGCTTGAACACAGTCTCTTCCTCCAGTGCTGCTGGCACTGCCAGTTCATTTCTCATCAATTCTCCTCTTCCATGTATTTATCCTTTCATTCTTTACTCTTTACTTCCATCCTGGGGAAACCCCTGGGGTGGGGACCTTTCTCCTCACTCCCCATCAAGCCATCTGGGCCGGCACCTGGCAGACACCCAGTGAGTATCTGGTGAGTGAATCCAGGAATTAACGAACTTCTCTGACCTTCAGTATCCTCATCTGTAAACTGGGGGTCTTAAAGTCCCTTTCCTCATGGTCATGACTCCAAGAGACTGTGTGTGTACACAGACAATGATGCTAATCACATTGGAGACGCACGGTGCTTACTGCATAGTTCAGTGCCCTGTGCGGGTCCCCTGCCTGAATCTGCCCAGCACCTCGGTAAGACATTGCTTTATGCTTACTCCACCGAAGAGGAAGCTAAGGCACGGGCAGGCCGCAGAGTTAGGAAGAGACAGGGCAGAGAGGATTCCCAGGCTTTGAACTGCTGAGGTATACTACGTGACGGTGATGAATGAACACGTGGAAAGTCGACGGGCAGTGTGGCTTAGTGGTTGGGAGCACGGACCCATTTCACACCACCTGGATTCAAATTCCAGCTTTGCCATTTGGGCAACCTACTAACCTCTGCGTCTTAGTTCCCTTCTCTGTAGAATGGAGAGAACAGCAGCACTTACCTCATGGGACTGCTGTGCAGATGAAAGAAGGGAGAATGTTTAAAGCCCTTAGCACACAGTGGACACTGTGTAAGCAACGGGGCTGCTGGTAAGGACTCGTGGAGGCTGTTGGTAGTGGGAATGGGCGGGGAGGCTGGATGGGGCGGCAGGGCAGGCCTACCCTGGGTGGGAGGGCCCGGCGGCAGGCTAGTCTTCATGTGGAGCAGATCCCAGCACCAGAGGTTCTGCTGGTCCTGCAGGAACAGAAGGTCCTGGCGAAGAGAGGCAGCTGCCGGCAGGAGCAGCTCCGAGGCCTGGAAGGGGAGGGAAGGATAGTCATCTGGGGCGGGGCGGGGGAGACAGGTCACAGGAGACAGGCACTCACCTTCCCTGGGGGCAGCCCCAGCTTGTGGCTCAGTGCTATGAAGCTGGAGCCCCTTGGGGATGCGGGGTGCAGCTGGTGGATGGATGGGAGGACTGTGGGCAGGGGCTTCAACCTAGGGGTGGGGAGAAGTCTGGGTTGGGTGGGGACTGAGAAGAGGCCTTGGGTTCTGGAGGCTCTGGGGGCCCAGGAACTTCAAGGTGGGTCTGGGGCCTAGGATGCCAAGACCAGGGCTGCCGACCCAAGGGTGAGGTCTGGCAGCCTGGGAACACTGGGGGTCTGGGGTTATCTTTTTTGAGGAGGTTCAGGGAGCGACAGTCACCCATGGCAGGGGATGCAGGGCAGGGGTGGGGCGGCCCCAGTCTCACTCTCCAGGGCTGTGCCGCAGCAGCGGGCCCAACAGAATGTGAGGCAAATGCCGGACTTCCTCCTCCAGACAGCGCAGCAGCTCCCGGCTCTGCGGTGCCACTGCCTCAGATGTAGGGACCACCTTTCGCTGGACCAGAGCTACCACCTGCGGGGAAGGCGAGGGATGGGTGGGGCAGCCCACGTCCACCCAGCCCCATCTTGGCAGATCCAGCCCTACCCAGACCTCAGCCCAACGCCCATCTCACCTCCCCTGGGCTCCGGCACAGGCGGGTCTTGCTGGCTGAGTTTCCCTTGATAAGCAGGCGGATCTGTTCCTGGGTCTCCTCCTGAGGAACCAGGATACCCTGAGATTCACTCCTCCCAGCTCCCAGCCTTAGTGCGCCTCTCTACTTAGGTCCTGCTTCTGCCTGGGAGTCTCACCTGGGCTCTTGCCTAGGAGGCCCAGTTCTTAATTTTTAAGTGACAGCATTCTTTTTTTTTTTTTTAAGTGACAGCATCTTGCTCTGTCACCCAGGCTGGAGTGCAGTGGTGTGATCATACCTCACTTCAGCCTTGAACTCCTGGGCTCAGGTGATCCTCCCACCTCAGCCTCCCAAAGTGCTGGAACCACAGGCATGTGCTACCACACTGGGCTTAGGTCCAGTTCTTAGCCAGTTTTCAAGCCTCCCCTCTGGCCCTCCACAAGGCCCCGCCACCTCTTCCCGGGCCCAGCCTCTCACCACCAGCTGGCGCCAGTGCAGGATCCGCTGCTGTTTGGCCTGTAGCTCCCTCAGCAGGAGCTGCCGATGCCCGGCTGCATCCTCCAGCTCCTGGCTCTGAGCACGCAGGACCTTGAGCTCCGCCCACAGGCCACAGCCCCGAAGCCCCAGTATCAGCACCTGCCTGCAGGGCAAGCGGAGGAGAGCAAAGGACAGGAGGGCGACTGAGCCACACAAGGGACCATAAACCAGGGAGAGAAACCGCAGGGAGAGGAGACAGGGATGGGAGCCACAGGGGCTGAAAAAGTCCAATGGGCTGAGACGCTCAGAAGCGAGACGGCCTAGAGGCCCCTGCTTGGGGAGCCCCTCACCTCTCACTGGATCCCAGGACGCGTCTCTCCATCTCTTCCATCAGGCCCTGGAGGCGCTGGGTCAGGACTTGCCGCTCCTTCAGGAGGGCACTCCGCTGGGAGACCAGCACACCCACAGTCCGCCAGCCCTCCTGCAAGGGGGGTAGAGTCAGGGTACACCCAGGGCATGATCCATGGGTGAGGGGGTTGAGGAAGTCTTGGAATGCGGTGGGGAGGCGAGCCCTGCGGTCACCTGGATGAGATGAACCATGGACGGCAGGGTCTGGCTGGAGTCTGACTGGTCCGGGGCCTGGGGTCTGGGGTGGGGAAAGAGCTGCTGAGGGAGCCGTGCGGTGGCCTTGCCTTGGTACTCGAGGGTAGCCAGTGTCAGTCCTGCCACCCCACTGGGCAGTGGGTTTCAGTTCCACCCCGTCAGCAGGTGGCTGGGCCAGGTCCTGAGGCTATCCCAGCTCACCCACTCACGCGGCCTTCCCCAACTGTAGGGATACCCTGCCCCACACCTGGATATCTCTGTATCGCCAAGCCCATCCCCACTGCACAGGGACCGAATCTCTGCCTCCCGCTCTGCAGCCAGGTGCTCCAGGGCAGCCAGGATGTGGCCCGGGGGGTGGTTTGTCAGCAGCGTCTAGGAGGAGGGAGGGTGAAGTCAGGGCAGGATTGGGGCAGGGCTGTGAGCTGAGACCCCATGGGAATGGGGCTGTCGTCAAGAGTTAGGTCCTGGCACCCTAAGTTTTGATCATGGGGCGGGAGGGTGTGCCTTTCCTGAGAGCCCTGCCCTCTCACCTCCGCAGAGCTCAGCCACTGCTGGTAGGAAGTGCCAAAGTGGTCTTCATGAGGGGTTCTGTGGGGTTGGGTAAGCGGACAGAAAATGTTACAAGACACGTCAATTATCCTCTAGTTATCACCACCGCCCTATAAGGTAGGGGCTGTCATCGTCCCTATGCCTGTTAGACTTGAGTTCCCCAATTATACCAACCTGCTGGCCTTGGGGCCTTTACATGGGTTGTTCATCCGGGACACTCTCTGGACCCTTCACCCCAGCTGAGCTTCCTCACCAAAGAACCTCTCCCCTCCTTGCCTTCTTAGCTGGGAAAGGCACTGCCTCTGGGTGCCCAGAGCCTCTCAGGCCTCCTCACTCCCCCAACAGCCCTGACCACCTGACTGTCAAGGTGATGAGTCTGTCCCCTTCTATAGAACGTAGCCCAGAAGCTCAGTGTCTGAGGAATTAATAAATAAGAGACACCCCACTTTAAAACCCAGGTTCTTTGCAGGGTCTCTGGGGGCTAGGGACACTCACAGGAGGCTGCCTCTCTTGGCCTGGGGAAGCAGGAGGTTCTGCAGGAACTGGGCCCGGAGGGTGCAGGCTGTTCGAACATCACGCTAGGGAGAAGAAGAGGAAGGGACCTGAGGGGGACCCTGGCGTCTGCCTGACTCCAGGCTCCCTGCCCCTTCTCCCATGATCGGGGACTCTTACCAGGACCACAGGCTCCAGGCCCAGAGCTGCCGATGTGAGGGATCCAAAGGTCACATCTACTTTGGCTTTCCTGGAGGGAGAAGTGCAGCTGGGGCTGGGGTCCCTGGGAAAACAGATGTCTGTGCCCCATCTCCTCTCACTGCCAGCAAGGCCAGTCAGAGGAATCACTAAGCCTAGATCCCGGAAGCCATCTCCAGATTAGGCCACTGTCACCTCCCAGCTGGAATATTGCATTAGCCTCTCTACTGCTCTTGCCCCATGAGACTGTTCTCCATCCAGGAGTCAATGATCCTGTTAAAACCCGAGGAAGATCATGTCCCTGCTCAGATCCCTCCAAAATAATGTGATGTTTCCCCAGCACATTCAGAATAACAATGGGCCCAGCGTGGTGGCTCATGCCTGTACTCCAGAGCTTTGGGAGGCTGAGGTGGGCAGATCACTTGAGGTCAGGAGTTCAAGACCAGCCTGGGCAACATGGTGAAACCCCGTCTCTACTAAAAATAGAAAAATTAGTCGAGCACAGTGGCATGCGCCTATAATCCCAGCTACTGGGGAGGCAGAGGCAGGAGAATGGTGTGAACCTGGGAGGCAGAGGTTGCAGTGAGCTGAGATCATGCCACTGCACTCCAGCCTGGGCAACAGAACCAGACTCTGTCTCAAAAAAAAAAAAAAAACCAACCCCAGAACAATAACAATAGTTAACAGGCACTTTTCTAAGCACTTCATATGATTGAGTCCACCTAACGATCATGCCTACCCAATAAGCTTGGTATTAATGTTATCTCCATTCTACAGATCTTAGAATCTGAGGCACACAGAAGTTAAATACCTTGCCCAAGGTCACCCAATTTTTTTTTTTTTTTCAAATGGAGTTTTGCTCTCGTAGCCCAGGCTGGAGTGCAGTGGCACGATCTCAGCTCACTGCAACCTCTTTTTCCCGGGTTCAAGTGATTCTCCTGCCTCAGTCTCCCGAATAGCTGGGGCTACAGGCATGCACCACCACACCTGACTAATTTTTGTCGGCTGGTTTCAAACTCCTGACCTCAAGTGATCTGCCTGCCTCGGCCTCCCAAAGTGCTGGGATTACAGGTGTGAGCACCGCACCCAGCCTAAGGTCACTCAATTTTAAGTGGCCAAGCCAGGGCACGAATCAGTCTCAGGGCAAAATCGCAACACATCATCCACAGTTCTCTGTCCACTCCTCCAACTTCACCTCCTGAGGTTCTCAGTCTTGCCTGAGAAACTCGAGCTGACATTGGCCCCTGGCTGCTCTTCCTGCATGCTGAGCACGCTGCCTCTGCTCTTGCTATTCCCTCTCCACAGAAATTTCTCTCCCAGTTCAGTGTTACCTCCTCAGAGACCTTCCCTCGCTAGGGCAGCATCTCCCTCTCCCTTCTATTACAGGCTTTTCTTCACAGCACTCATCTCTACCAGAAATGATAGGGTCTGCTTGGTTCCTAGTTTACTATCTGTCTTCTCCGTGTCACAGTGTAAGCTCCAGGAGGGCAAGGACTTGTTCTTTGTTTGTGGCTGTTTCCCCAGAGCTGGTGTTCTAGGTATACAGGTGTTATTCTAGGCACTGGAAATATAAGTGACTGAGATGACAAAACCTCCTGGCCTCATGGACCTTCCATCCTAATGGTGGGAGTTGAGAATTCTGGAACCCAAGAAGGGATCGGGGCAGAGCCCTGAGGTCTCTAAGAGAATGTCTGGCTGCCCAGCCTGGTAAGGGTGGGTCCCTGAGGCCCACCTCTCCATGTCCTGCAGGCGCCTCAGTTGATTCTGCAGCCGCTGCATGGGATCTCGGAGCCTATGCTGCTGTCTTCGCATGGCCCCAGCTTGGGCCCGGAGGAGGAGAGCTCGACGCTGGGTGTCTTGAGTGTGCTGAAGTGCCTGCTCCATGGCTGTGTCTGTAGGAGGAACAAGGGTGGCCATCAGCACCTTTCCCGCCCCACATTCTGTTGCCCATTTTCTGGCCCCATGGCTCACCCTGAGCCTCAGTGTCTCGCTCCATCAGTTCCAGGCTCTGGTCGAGCTCCTGGATTTCTGCCCGCAGGCGGGTCACAGTAGCTTCCAGCTCTAACTTCCGACGGACCTGGGAGGATCAGATTCAGGGTCAGATGCACGGTCTGATCGGGGCTCAGCCTGGCCTGTCTTTTGGGGGTACCAGGCTCCTCAACTGGTGGCAGTGGGTTTTTGCTCAGCAGTTTCTGTGTCTGACGCAGAAGCATTAGGGTACTGGCTCCCTCCTTCCTCTTAGGATTGTCTTACCCACACTTCCAGCCTGTTTCCTGTTTCCTGTCTGTGCTGGTGACAACCACATCTTTGTCCCAGTATTGATCTCTTCCTGGAGCCCTGCACCTAGAAGTCCCAAGGACTCCTGGAAGCCTCCCCTTAGGTGTCGTATGAGCCCCTTACACCCACTAGGTCCTACACTGGCCTCAGCATCTCTCCCAAACCTGTCCCTTCATCTCTTCTCAGCAGCTTTGATGCCACATATCCATGTCCCACCTCTCTGCCCCCAGCTAATACTATCTCTTTATATTTTTTTCTTTTTTTGAGACAGAGTCTCACTGCATTGCCCAGGCTGGAGTGCAGTGGAGTGATCTCGGCTCACTGCAACCTCTGCCTCCCAGGTTCAAGCGATTCTCCTGCCTCAGCCTCCCAAGTAGCTAGGATTACAGGCGTGCGCCACCACACCTGGCTAATTTTTTATTTTTAGTAGAGATGGGGCTTTATCATGTTGGACAGGCTGGTCTCGAACTCCTGACCTCAGGTGATCTGCCCGCTTCAGCCTCCCAAAGTGCTGGGATTACAGGTGTAAGCCACTGTTCCCAGCTGAGCTAATGCTATCTCCACTGGACTTTAAGCCCTATGAGGATGGGGATCAGGGCTATCTTGTGACCCATTGTCCCCAGCATCACCCAGCACCTGGTTGGGCTTAGAGTAGGAGATCTACAAATCATTTTTCGGATGAAAGAGAATCTTGTAGCATATGCTTCTTACCTGTGGACTGTCCTGGTGGCCATACCTAGGAAAATGAGACCAGAGTCAGTGGATGAGTGGGGCTTCCAGTGGGGAGGGCAACAGGTGTGATGCTGTGGTGAGGACAGGGCTAGATGGGAGTGGGGATAGGAAGGGATAGCTTTAAAAAGCAGTTACCAGAGTAGGTTTCCTCGGATCTTCTTGACAGTCCTACAGTGCAGAGGCAAAAGGAAGAGTTACTATGGACCTCACCTGTGCCCCCTCCCCTACTCTAGCTCAGCTTACCTCTGACTGTGCACATGTTGCAAGATGTAGGCCCAGATGTCAGCCCCCTGGCCCAGACACAGCCTGTGGGGACAGTGTGTAAGTGTATGCCTGGGGCAGCACACAGGGTGTGGGATCCTCATTCCCAAGGTGATGGTGGTAGGGAGTCTTTATTAGGGAGTTCTCACTTCTTGGGGAGGGAAGGCCCAAACTTTTTTTTTTTTTTTTTTTTTTTTTTTTTTTTAGAGACAGAGTCTCACTCTGTTGCCCAGGCTGGAGTGCAGTGGTATGATCATAGCTCCCTGCAGCCTTAACCTTCTGGACTCATGCGATCCTCTCACCTCAGCCTCCAGAATAGCTAGGACTACAGGCAGGCACCACTACACCCGGCTAATTGGTAAAACATTTTTTTTGTAGGGACTGGATCTTTGCACTAAGTATGGTGGTATTCTCATTCCCCGGGAAGGCGGGGGTGGGGGTGAGTGGCGAGTGCTCCCTTTCTCCTGGGAGAGGGTTATCCAGTCACATTCAGAGGTGGAGGTGGGGGATGTACTGCCAGGAAGTGCCATCCCATGGCCAGATGTGGGGCATCACTCCTACAGATTCAATCCCCGATGGGGTGGCCACGGCTAACTCCTGAGTGTCCTTTTTGATTAGGGTAAGGGTGGGAAGGGGAGGTGCTGCGGGGACAGCCTCACCCTGGAGATCCTATTTCCATACGGAGAGGGGTCTTCGCTAACTCGTGGAGGATGCTCACCAGTGCTAGGGACCTCACTCTGGGAAGCCTCCCACGGCAGGGAGCCCTCAGTAACTCGGGTCACTTTCGATGGGGAATGGGGGGTCGAGTCCTCAATGAGGGGTGGAGTTCTCACTCCCGGAGACTCAATCTCCAGGGTGGGGAGTCCTCACTCCAGGAGCGGTCCTCACCTGCGCAGTGTCGATTCCCGGGCTCGGGCCGCCACGGGCACCCCCATCTCTTCGGCCGCCCAGCAACTCAGTTCCCGCGCTTCCCGCGCTAGCTCCATGACAGCGACACAGCTGCGCCACCGCCTCCCTCAGCCTCTTCAAGTGTGGCGCCCGCCTCTGACGTCACGGACGCGCCAACAGGACGTCATCGGTTGCCGGGCAGACAGCGGGCTGCGGCGCTGCGTAGTAATCTTAGCGTGGTAAGGTTGGGTCTTGCAGCGCTCACTCTTCCCAGGTGGGTCTCCTTGAGTGGAAATGAAAAGGGCGTGGAGATACGGCGGCCCCGCCCGCCTTCCCTCGTTCTCTCGCTCACTACCAGCTAACCCGAAAGAGGCAAAACAGTCCTTGATGCTTCCCTTTATTTTCTTCTTCTTCTTTTAATTAAACATTTTTATTTTAATAGAGATGGGATCTCACTATGTTGCCCAGGCTAGTCTCAGTTTCTGGGCTCTTGAACTCCTGGGCTCAAGCGATCCTCCCGCCTCGGCCTCCTAAAGTGTTGGGATTACAGGTGTGAGCCACCATGCCCGCCTGCTTTTCTTGACAAAATGGGACTTGCATCCTAGGAGGACTGGAACCAGGCAATGAGATCCTGAACTTACTGCTCTTTGATTTCAGAAACAGGTATCCCATGTCTGAGTGGAGGGTAGGGGCAGATAGTATGACCCTAACATTTCCCTGGCATGCATTTTCCCATTCATTTGTGCTTACCATTCCATAAACTCAGGGAGCTGACTCTGTGCTGGGTGATGCTGGGGACAACATGGTGACCACGACAGCCCTGGTCCCTGTTGTACAGAGCTCCCAGTTCAGTGGGGAGACAGACACACCAGCAGGTAGGGATGGTAAAAATAAGCAGCAGGGGTGGGTCAATTTGGGACACAGCAGGTGTGAGAGGTCTACGGGATGCCCAGAAAGCAGTAGGGCTGGAGTTCTGGAGAGCCCACTGGGCCAGGTCAGAGAGCTGAATGCACTGTGAGCATCAGTATGAGACCAGAGCAGAGGAAGACGGGCCCTGAGGAAAGGCAGTATTTACAAAACTTTCACTCAGCATGCTTGCCTAGGCCATCACTTTCTCCTTGGTGTCCAGTTCAGAGCCTGGCTTTCGAAATAGTTGTTGAATTAGGCCGGGCATCGTGTTTCACGCCTGTAATTCCGCACTTGAAAGGCTGAGGTGGACGAATCATTTGAGGTCAGGAGTTCGAGACCAGCCTGCCCAACATAGTGGAACCCTGTCTACAAAAAATACAAAAATTAGCTGGGCATGGTGGCTTGCGCCTGTAGTCCCATCTACTCTACTCAGGAGGCTAAGGCAGGAGAATCGCTTGAACTCAGGAGTAGAGGTTGCAGTGAGCCAAGGTCCCGCCACTGCATTCCAGCCTGGGTGACAGAGCAAGACTGTGTCTCAAAAATAAATAAACAGTTTTTGAGTCAGCAAATGGGGAAAGATGGTGGAGTGAGACTAGAGCTGGGTACCCAGGGAGGAGGCTGGAGCAGGATGAGGGATGGAGGGTGAGGACAGTTGCTGGGCCAGGGTGGGGCTGTGGGGAAGGAAGGAGGAGGCAGAGTAAATGGGTCATAAGTTTGATGAACTGGAAGAAGGGAGGGGATTCAGGGTGAGGCTCAGGGCTCTGGCCCAGGGATTGGATGGGGTGGACTTTGAAACAGGGACCTGTGAGGAACAGTTGTTTTGGGAGAGATGCTGAGGACAGCGTGGAGTCTCGGGAGTGTGAGGAGCCAGGGAGACATCCAAAGGGCGCCTCAGGTCTCTGACCTAGGGGACAATGATCACCACTGAGATAGGTGTGCAGGAGAAGCTGAAGCCAGCTTCACACACCTGTTGAGGATTGAGAGGCAGAAGAGAGTGCCATGGGCTGATGCAATCCTGGTGGGCTTCCTGGAGGAAGGATTGCCAGCTGTGACTCCTGGATGTCTGGTTTCTTAACAGCTGCCATTTCCCCCAGATATGCCCATTCTTCTACTTGTGTAGAGAATTTTTTTTTGCTATTTTTTAAGAAAATCAATTAGGCACCACATCTGCCATGGGTCTATGAGCTTTTCAGGGGACTCTGAATGTGTTTGAGACCTTTAAAACATGTTAAGAGAATGAGGTCGGGTGCAGTGACCTGTGCCTGTAATCCCAGCACTTTGGCAGGTCAAGGTGGGAGGATTGCTTGAGCCTAGGAGTTTGAAACTAGTCTGGGCAACATAGAGAGACCCCATCTCTAAAAAAAAAATTTTTTTTAAGTTAGGTGAGTGTGGTGGCGTGTGCTGGTGGTCCCAGTTACTTGGGAGGCTGAGGCTGATGCGGGAAGACCACTTGAACCAAAGAGTTCAGAGGCTGCAGTGAGCTAGGATTGTGCCCCTGCACTCCAGCCTGGGCAACAGAGCAAGACCCTGTCTAAAAAAAAAACAAAAAACAAAACAAAACAAAAAAAAAGAATGAAAAGACGAGTCACAGACTAAGAGAAAATATTTGCAAAACACTTATAAAGGAGTATCTAAAATACATAAATAACTCTTAAGACAACAATAATTGGCTGGCCACAGTGGCTCACACCTATAATTCCAGCACTTTGGGAGACCCGGGTAGGAGGATTGTTTGAGCTCAGGAGTTTGAGACCAGCCTGGGCAATATAGCGAGACCCCATCTTTACACAAGAAAAAGAAATTAGCCAGGCATGGTGGTGTCCGCCTGTGGTCCCAGCTTCTTGGGAGGCTGAGGCAGGAGGATGGCTTGAACGCAGGAGTTTGAGACTGCAGTGAGCTGTGATTATGCCACTACACTCCAGCCTGGGTGACAGAGCAAGACCTTGTCTCAAAAAACAAAGCAGGCTGGGTGCAGTGGGTCATGCCTGTAATCCTAGTGCTTTGGGAGGCCGAGGCAGGTGGATCACTTGAGATCACAGTTTGAGACTACGCCTGGCCAACAATGTGAAACCCTGTCTCTACTAAAATACAAAAAATTAACTTGGGCCATGTGGGGGGCAGGCACCTTAATCCCGGCACTCGGAGCTGAGGCATGAAATCGCCCTTGAGACTTGGAAGGCAGAAGTTGTCCAGTGAGCCAAGATCCATGCCAAACCGCATCTCCAGCCTGGCGACAGAAGTGAAAACTCAGTCTCTAAGAAAAGGAAAAAAAAAACAAAAAAAAAACCGAAACAAAACAAGAAATTAAACAAGCCTACATTAAGCATTCTACTTTTAAAGGCATATGAAAGCTTTCTTTTCCATACACTTGTGAACGCATACTTTTTGTTACTTTTTTTTGTTCATTACCAGCATGTTAGTAACCTTTGGCAGAAAACATAAGATCTAGTGCCCTAAAACTGTTTTTAACTATGCATTACTGCATTCTTTTTTTTTTCTTATCTTGTTCTTTTTCTTTTCTTTCTTGTCTTTTTTTTTTTTTTTTTTTTTTTTTGACGATCCTCACTCCTGTTTTGGCCCAGCTGGAGTGCAAGTGGCGCCATCTCGGCTCACTGCAACCTCTGCCTCCCAGGTTCAAGCATCTGCCCTCAGCTCCTGAGTAGCTGCGAACTGACCAGGCATAACGCCACCCATCCTGCTAATTTTTTGTATTTTTAAGTAAGATGGGGTTTCGCCATGTTGGCCAGGCCGGTCTCGAACTCTTGACCTCAGGTGATCCGCCTGCCTTGGCCTCCCAAAGTGTTGGGATTATAGGCGTGAGCCACCACGCCCAGCCTGGCTATCTACATTCTATTTCATGTATGATGTGGCTGTATATTTATATGTTTGAACCAATGATAGTAGGTTATCAGAACATATTAGTGCCACCAAGTTGGTATATAACCCCCACTGCTAAATTTGACTGGCTTAAAAAAATATGTGTGGTGGGCAATGTATTAGTCCATTTTCATACTGCTATGAAGAAATATCCAAGAATGGGTAATGTATAAAGAAAACGAGGTTTAATGGACTCACAGTGGAGCATAGGTACGTCTTACACGGCTGCAGGCAAGACAGCATGTGCAGTGGAACTGCCCTTTATAAAAATCAGATCTTGCCGGGCACGGTAGCTCACGCCTGTAATCCCAGCACTTTGGGAGGCTGAGGTGGGTGGATCACGAGGTCAGGAGATCGAGACCATCCTAGCTAATACGTCTCTACTAAAAATGCAAAAAATTAGCTGGGTGTGGTGGTGCACACCTGTAGTCCCAGCTACTCGGAGGCTAAGGCAGGAGAATGGCGTGAACCCGGGAGGCGGAGCTTGCAGTGAGCAGAGATCGTGCCACTGCACTCCAGCCTGGGCGACAAAGCGAGACTCTGTCTCAAAAAAATAAAATAAAAGTAAAAATAAAAAAAGATAATAATAAAATAAAAATCAGATCTCATGAGACTTACTCGAGATCACGAGAACAGCATGGGAAAAACCCACCCCCGTGATTCAATTGCCTCCCAGTGCGTCCTTCCCATGAAATGTGAGGATTATGGGAGTTACAATTCAAGATGAGATTTGGGTGGTGACACAGCCAAACCATATCAGACAAAGAGTGTGGTCATGGTGGGCTGTTGTTGGTCTTGGGTGCCTGGTATCTTAGTTCTCTCTGTCTGTCTGGGAGGCCATCATCTCCCCAGATAAAACCCTCCTCACACTCTTAAGGAAGATGGCACTTATGAAATCTCACAGCCTCCCTTGTAGCCAGGGCTCCAGCCTAGCCTATCTGGTTTTTCTTTTCTTTTTTTTTTTTTTTTTTGAGATGGAGTTTCGCTCTGTTGCCCAGGCTGGAGTGCAGAGCTGCGATCTCGGCTCACTGCAACCTCCGCCCCTGGGTTCAAGCGATTCTCCTGCCTCAGCCTCTCTAGTACCTGGGACTACAGGCATGCATGACTGTGCCCAGCTAATTTTTGTATTTTTAGTAGACACAGGGTTTTGCCATGTTGGCCAGGCTGGTCTTAAACTCCTGACCTTAGGTGATCCGCCTGCCTCGGCCTCCCAAAGTGCTGGGATTACAGGTGTGGGCCACTGTGCCTGCCCTGTTTTAACCTAGTTGTTCCTACACCTGATTCATCTTTTTTTTTTTTTTTTTTTTTGAGACGGAGTCTCGCTTTGTTGCTCAGGCTGGAGTGCAATGGCACAATCTCGGCTCACTGCAACCTCCGCTTCCTGGGTTCAAGTGATTCTCCAGCCTCAACCTCCCGAGTAGCTGGGATTACAGGCACCCACCATCATGCCTGGCTAATTTTTGTATTTTTGTAGAGATGGGGGTTTCACCATGTTCGCCAGGCTGGTCTTGAACTCCTGACCTCAGGTGATCCACCCACCTCGGCTTCTCAAAGTGCTGGGATTACAGGCGTGAGGCACCGCGCCCGGCCACACCTGATTCATTCTTATT